CACAGCAAATATAAAAGTACAAAGGAAATTCAGTAAAACAAATCCCAAGCTGCATCAATTATAGTTTACATAGCTGAATGACCATTGCATCACTAAACCTAAAGTGAATTTCCACTTTTGCACTGGGGTAAAACCTACCTTAAAAGGCTATAAAGTTCACCTGTCTGATCTTGCTTCATGTTAGTTACACTCATATTTAGGGTGCAACATGAAACATGGTCAGATTGCAACCCTCCCCCCACCCTCCCCTTACCTGAAAAAGATAGTGCTAGGTCTTATTTTCAGGGTAGGTCTTACTTTAGGGGAAACACGGTAGCAGCAGAAGGACTTGTAGTATCAAAGTAATACGTCTACACACTTGTAGTCCATTAACTCTGCCTCCCGTCTATGTTACCTCGGTACAGGCAACGATGGGAGGAACTGTCTGCATGAGCCATAGCATTGCATTGTTGCAATGCTATACTGGCTTCAATGCAAATAAAATAATACATGCACATTTTTCTTTTATGAAGTGTGCATTTTATTTAGATTTTTTTTAAAAAAAGGGAAATTTCCCTTTAAACAATTACTTGTTACATGTTCCTATTCACATTGCCTAGTGTAAAAATATTTGAAAGTTGCTGCTTACATATCTAAGTGATTTTACTTGCTTACACATCCAAGCTAGCTTTCCCCTATGTAATGTTACGTAGGGGAGCTGTGGGAAGTTATGTTTATGATAATTTCCCGTCTATACTGTGATGGAAGATTTCATTATCAGTTGTAAACTAGATAATAGAAGCTTGCCTTCTGCACTGTATAGACTTTTTGTTAAAAGTAGATTGCTGTCTACCCAAAGACCTGTTTCAAAGAAAAATCTAAAAGGAAAGAATATTTTTAGGTATGCTGTGTGAAGGGGAACGCAAACATGAGTGTTTCTCAAGTGTGACTGCAAAAGCGGAAATACACTTTAAAGTCCATAAAAGCAGCATACATAACAGTCCATAAAGAACACTAATTGGGTAGCCATTGCACATTTAGGAATACAGCCAACCACGATGCTGTTTGGACACTTAAAGGAGGAGAACTATGGGGTTAGGGCCTTTCCCCATAGTTCTCCTAAGTGTAATGGGAGGACACAAACTAGCGTCCTCCCGTCACCCAAAGCTCAGTATACTGCAAGCTACAGCTCGCGGTATACTGGGACGCAGCAGCCCGAACAGAAGTGAAGTGAGCGAGCGCCGGTATGTGTACGCTCACTTCCCGATCTACAGAGCCGACCTGTGACAGTTCCATTGTCACAGGTCGGCTCAGATTATGAGGCTGAGTGAAAATCACTCGCCTCATAATTCTCCTTTAATTGTAAAATGGTGCTTGGTAAAGGGTTTCACAGCCAAAATTCATGGGTGGGGGGGATTTATAAAAACCGGAGCAGACAGAATCTGGAACATTTGCCCACATCAACCAATCAGCTTCTCTCTTCAGTTGCTCCAGTTAAGCTTTGAAAATGAAAGATTAAAGCTGATTGGTTGCTGTATGCAACTGCTCTAGATTCTGTCTGCTCCAGTTTTGATAAATTCCCTTCGTTGTTCTTTTGCACCAATAGCAGACTGCTTACATGAGCGGTAGCATTTCTCACTATGGAACAGTCAGTCTACACTGACTGTTGCTGTACCAAATGGAATATTATTTAAGTAGCTTGTCAGGATCTAAGTATTTAGCTAATAATAGATGCAGCTTGTGTGGAAAACTGTTTTTTCAATTGGCTTTTTGGGTGTGCATTGTATATAAAAATTAAAATGATTAATTATGTATATATTTTCCAGCAGACTCATGTTGAATACGCACTAAAAGCCCTGTTTTTAGAAGGGATTTATTGGTTGTGTGGTGATCTTCACTAAACTTATTAATAACCCCTCCATGATCTCTGAATTTTCATATTTGAACTATGATTTCTACTGGTACTTGCTGTTCAGCTTTAGCCCATGCAATCTAACAAAGCTAATGACGGCAGGCAGTGGCTGGGTAGCGAGACAATATCCTGCATGCTTAGCTCTACTTATGAATACGTTATCTGCTGCATGTGTTTAACAGTGGAATGCAGAGTTTTCTTACTTCGATAATTAGAACTCGCCAATATCGCTTCATGTTCAGAGCTAGTAATACTACACTGTGAGCACTGATACATTTTCTGCACTAGTCACAACTATTTCCATTCATATAGTAACAACTTCCATGGAGTAGCTACAATAAAGAACGTGTTTATTTTTTCATGAAGAAGAGATCAGGTCAGCAAATGGCTCTGGAGAAAATCTGCTGTCACATAAGAGTAACAGAAGGCAGCAATTTTCATATCACTGTGTGCTGCGGGATGGATGAACTCAGTAGTCAGGGAGAGCTTTTCAGGATAGGAAATGTGCAGTCTGACCTTAACTTCCATGCTGTGCTTCACCAGCCGCTTTCGGGATTGCAGATTCTCATTTCTTGCCACCAATGTCTCAGAGAGCTCTCGAAAAGACCTCTGGAGATCATTAAGAAGGCAAAGCAGTACACGACTTTGTTGAGGTGTCAAATTTTGGGCTTGCTCAGAGATAAATAACTGAATCTCGAAAGCTATGTTGTCCAGTTGTAGCTTGGTGTCTGCCACAGGCTGCCTCAGGCTCTGCAATATGGACAAATGTATAAATGTTAGACAACGGACACATATATCAATATATCTGCTACGAGTAACGTATGTTTCCAGCAGGCAAAATTAATTCTAATTCTTCAACAGGGCTATAAGAGATTAAAATGAAAAATGTGACCAGGTTGCTATGGGCAACACACAGATTTTTATTTTTAGTCATTTAATAATTTAATGTTATTACAAAATTACCTTTCCATTTAAAACTGCAAACACTGTAATTTTCTAAGACTGTAAAAAAAAAATTCAATGCAATATAGTGACCTGGAGGCATTCTATACACAGTTGGTGTACTGAACATCCCCAGAAATGGCACTTCCTGCTTTTGTGATTGGCTGACTGATTTTCCCAGCAGTCTGCAAGTACAATTTTTGGCATCCGTTGCAATAAAAAAAAAAATCATTTTGGGAAGATACTCCCTAAAGTTTAATTGCTTCTAAATGGATGCAGACATTGCAGAATCCAGACCCTCCCATTCAGGAATCAGTGTGGAAAGGACATGGTGAAATAAACAGCTATTTCTTCTGAACATAAAGAGATCGGAATCTGCAACAAAGTTTGGTAAAAATCCTTGCAATGTACACAGATCACTCAGGGGATTGATTTTTTTTCTCAACAAAAGTGGAGTTACTCTTTAATGGAACCCATTTTTTGGCCAAATAAAGTTGCCAGCAACATATAATATTATATGTATATATAATATATATATAGTATAATAATATTATACTTTAGTTTTTTTCTTTTAAATACAACCTCTATTTCTCCTTCCTCTTTTTGAATGGTTTAAACGTAAGCTATAACGCCAATTTCCAATCATGTCATAACAAAATCAAAATATCAGCAGCAGCTGATTACATTAAGACAGAACCCCTTCCCCTGTAAGTCACCTACTGTTAGTAGGTGTAAAAGTTACCTGTACAGAAAAGAGTTAGATTTATACTTACCTCACCCCCCAAGATCTGCCCAGGGTACCTAGGCGATGTGCAAGACTGCGTAAGGCAAGTATGAATCTAACGGTTTTCTTTACTTTTTAAACCTTCTAACACCAGGTGATTTTTGC